GTGGCCAGCAGGTCGAGGGAGGGGATTCTCCCCCTCCACTCAGCTCTCCTGAGACCCCACCTGTGGAGCCCTCAACAAAGGATATCGACCAGTTGGAGCAAGTCCAGAGGAGGCCATGGAGATGATCAGAGGGCTGGAGCACCTCTCCTATGAAGACAGGCTGAGAGAGTTGGGCTTGTTCAGCCTGGAGAAAAGAAGGCTCTGGGGAGACTTTATAGCACCTTCCAGTTACTTAAAGGGGGCCTACAAGAAAGATGGGGACAAACTTTAGCAGGGCCTGCTGTGATAGCACAAGTTGTAATGGTTTTAAACTGAGAGGGTGGATTCAGACTAGATATCGGGAAGAAGTTTTTTACAATGAGGTTGGTGAAACACTGGAACAGGTTGCCCAGGGAGGTTGTGGATGCCCCATCCCTGGAAATACTCAGGGTCAGGTTGGAGAGGGCTCAGAGCAACCTGACCCAGTGAGTGTGTCCCTGCCCATGGCAGGGGGATTGGAACTAGATGGTCTTTAGGTCCCTTCCAACCCAAACCATTCTATGATTCTAAGTAGCCAAGATGCATTCAGCTACTGTCTTCTCTCTTCAGCTTGGTGGCAATTCCCGTATATGTGAAGCACATGATCAGTTTTAAGGAAAACAGTTCTTCGGGAAGATTTGATGTTACCATTGGACCAAAACAGAATATGGGGAAAACAGTAGAAGGAGTTGTTATGACAGTTCACATGCCAAAGGCCGTACTTAACATGAACCTCACCGCTACACAAGGCAGCTATACATTTGACCCAGTTACTAAAGTAAGTCTTCCAGTTTTGTTTATTTAAATACCTAAGACAACATTAGAACAAGTCATACATGTTGCAGAGCACTGGGGCAGCGTTTCACACTTAGCAGAAAACTTGCCCGTCAGCATATGTTTATGAATTAAAAGCTTATTTTTAAAATTTCCTTTTTCAAACTTAAATACACACCACTTGTGATTTCTGATTTTACCAGTCTATTCTTCCCCTTCCTCTCTTTTTCCCTTCTCCTTCACCCCCTAATATTTTTCTTTAGTATTTAGCAGTATTTTGCTGGTGGTTTTAGCTATAGTATATTTTGCTATCTGTATGTTCTTTAAAACATACTTAACTGGAGAAAATGCAGTAGACTAGAAAATGGGTAGCCAGAAAAACAGGGAGCAGAAGATGAGAAAAAAAAACTCTTCCAAAAGATTAATCTGTCTGAAGACACACAGGAAGGAAGACAAAGAGTTTGAAAAACTGTATCTTGGGAGTCCTGCTTTCTTGCCTCTGAGTTGGGGTTTGAGACCTAAATTTCCTAAAGCTCCAGCAGCTTTTTAGTGCCCAGAAAACATTCTGCTGGTTCTAACACCCTGCTCTGAGCTTTCTGCCACCCTTGGAATACCTTAGTCAGCATCTGATTTGAATTTTAAGTGAAATCTCTCCAAATAATTTTTTTTTTTCTTTAAAAAAAAGAACTGACCGTAATCTCTTAAAAACAAACGCACCAGTAAAAACTCTGTGCTGGTTACTCTCCTTGCTTCATGGTTCTAGCTGACCCAGCCTGACAACAGGAACAACCACCATTACTAAGGGAACCAGAAGCATTAAGTGCACAGACCACTTAAGGGGTGCTGACAGGGCAAAAGAAATGCTGGGAGAACACAGGCACCGTACCGAGAGGAGCCCTAGCCATGCCATCTCCCAGCCCGTGGGACAGTTCTCGGGGCCAGCAGGGTACCTCAGCCAGCACACTAAAAGCTTGACATGAACTTGACGTCCTGTGTTGTTTCCTAGAAAGCTACTGCTTCTTTTCTCTTTCCTGACAAGGTGTTAACATGGGACGTTGGGAAAATTACCCCTCAAAAGCTACCAAACCTGAAGGGCATAGTGAACCTGCAGTCTGGAGCCCCCAAGCCAGAGGAGAATCCAAGTTTAAACATCCAGTTTAAGATACAACAGCTTGCAATTTCAGGTGAGTGGGTGGGTTTATGGGAAATTGGTACTGAGGGAATGAGTAGCAGTAGGAAACAAGTGGGAAACTATTAATCTTTTAATTGGAAATGCTGATCTGAAGTCAGTTTGATCCAAAAAGTGAAGCCTGATTTACCCAAACCTGGCAGTTACCCTTGCTGGGAATTGTGAATTCCCAATTGTTTTGCCCAAGAAAGACGGTGAGAAGTGTACAGAAGAATGGATTTATCTTTGTGGACTTGTGCATTAAACATGCAAATTTATCCTTTTAGTGAAGAGTGATGGAAGATGATTTAGCATGCTGCTCTTGACTTGCGTTAGCCTTGTACCACCAATGCCCTTTCTAGGGGTCAAAAAACTCCAGTAATTTTAAAGAATGCCCTTCTTATTCATTCCTTCTGGCGCTGGTTTGGTTTTAATCTTCAAAAACAAAAATCACATAAAATCAGAATGAATTCTGTAGGGCAAGTGCAAAAGTACATTTAAAGCAAACAAGGCCTTGGTCTGCAAACACTTACACTGTGTGAGTTTTCCTTGTGTAAAATGCTTCTCCAAGCAAGCTTTGCAGGATTTGAGAGGCAGACAGAGTGAAGGCTCCCATCTGGAAAGGAAGAGGATGACCGAAGGCAGTAGATGAGAACTGGCGGTAGTACATGTAATGAATACCTTTCTGGGTAGGTCCTGGGCTGCGGTCCTTCTGCTTCCTGCACTACTTTGAGGAGTAAGTAACAGTTAGTCCTTGTCTCAACTTGTTAGTCCTAGAACAGAGACCTGCAGTTTCCTCTTAAACGTGCAGCCCATTACTTGAAATCTAGCCAAACTGAAGGGTCCGATGGCTGGATGCCAGGGATAATGGACCTGTGAGAAAGTGGGGGACAACCTGAAACTGTCAAAGTACTTGAGGGCCAGTGGGGCTCCTCGGTTATAGAAGAGGGACTACTGGTCCTTGCAATCGTGATCTAGGGCAAAAAGGATTCTAAAACTTTTGGAAACAAGTTCAGTGCCCAGTAGCTGTGGAAGAGCTCATCACTTCATCCCTTGGAAGGAGGATGGTGTCTCACTGAGTGGAACGGAGGACAGGGCAGCTGTGATTAAGTGGCAAGGAGGGTCTTCACTGCTTCAGACTGGAAGAACTTGTGAAAGGAAGGAAAAACAGCCTCCTGATGCATCTTGACATGCTTCAAGAAAGCAGGACTTTTAAACAGACTGACATGGTTTCTAGCGTTCTGCTTCTCACGTTATACATGATTTTGTCTTTTTCAGGACTGAAAGTGAATCGCCTAGACATGTATGGAGAAAAATACAAGCCTTTTAAAGGTGTCAAATACATTACAAAAGCCGGAAAATTCCAAGTCAGGACATGAGAAGATGTCATGAGAAGATTTCCTACTTCCAGGAGGAAATTCCCCCTGAACAAAACTTGACTGCTTAGTGACTTGTTGCTATTAATTAGGTGCCAATTAATTAATAGACACTGATTAGTTTGGGATCAAAGCATCTGTGCACAGCAGCTCTTAAGATGAAAGCATAGTGTAGTTTTTCTTATTATGGCTTTAAATTAAGGTACTTGTTTTCTAATACACCTTCACTCTTTTTTTATGGAATTGTGCTGGTGAGTAGTTTGATAGAGGTGATCCACAAAACGTCGCGAACACGACACTGCCAGTCAGATACCAAAGCCCAGAGGCCAAGCACATTACAAGGGCCAGACAGGCCCCCGGAAAAGTCTCGTGGCACGTTTTGCTGCTGCAGCCACCTGCAAAGAAAGCTCAGCTATTCTCACAGCCCGCCGCAAGACGGTGTGCCACATGGCATCACTTCAGAAACACAGCAGCAGTGAGAGCGGTGGGGCTCCCGCAGGGGCCTGGGACATAGCACGTGTCACTCCTGAAAAAGAGCTTCTGATGAAGAAAAAGATAATTTCCTTGTTTACAAGAAATCGCCTTTCTTAAGAAGCATTTGCCTTAATCAGCTTTCATTTGTGCCATCTGCAGATGAGCTGATAAAAATAACATTCTGCATTAAATCTGGGAGGTGATTGTTGCTTCAGTAATCCACTTTCTTTCCATTCAATCTCATCATTGCCATCATTTTTTTTAAGAATACAGTTGCAGAGAGCGAGATCTATTTTTTATGTGAAGCCTTTGCTTTGATTTAGATGTTCCACTTGTTTGAAGTGGATGCCACCAGATCTGTGCCGTGTGTACATCGGAGCGTAGCTTTTTAGGTAGCACAATAGAAGTGTCAAGTGTATTTAATGGTTGTGTGCTTTAATGTTATGAAATAAAGGGAACTGTGCTGCAAATGCATCTTTTCTTGTGCCATCTTCACGCTGCTGTCAACTGTGCATGGTGCTCTTCGGTGAAGACAGCTGATACGCAATTAAACGATGATGATTTGCTACATCTTTACCGAGTTTGATCACTGTGCAGCTATTTCAAGTTTAGAAAGGGCATGTGGGAGCAGGGCAGGTAAGCTCCCTTCCATATTTCTTATTTTTAAACGGAGGACAATTAATGTTTAGATTATGATGTTTCAAAGCACAGCAGTGATGATGCAAAGCTGACTAAACTTTTCCTTATAGCCCAGCATAAATGCGTTACCTTTGTAAAGCAACACCAGCTCCACAGCACCTGTCGGGGGGTTTCCAGAAGCTTTGTTTCCCTAACCTGTTGGGTTTACGAATTGATGAATAGGCACTAACTGCCTCAGAGGAAGAACAGGAACTGCAGCCATTCAGTACTCAAAATTTAAAATACTGGGGCAAAAAAGTGATTGGGGCTGAAAAAAAGGAGGGGGGAACCCATCTGAACACTGGCAGCAAGGAGAGAAACAGCACATATTCTCCAGTATTACCTTTGGTAACATCACTGCGGTAAACTTGGCCACACCCAGTTTGAATTTCTGAAATTTCAGTATATTAGTGTAGATAAACCAGCACTTTTAAGAGCCAACACCTATGAGAAAGCCGTCCGTTGGTGCAGACCTAACACTGGGTGTTAAAAGCTGCCAACCTCTACTTTGCCTTTTTCAACTAGAGAAACATCCCTGGATTCATTACTCACCTACAGGTCCACCCCACATCTCAGCAGATGGCATCCTTCTGACGGAAGCCTTGTCTGCAGATGTGACTGACAACGTCCCAAGCTGAAGGCTGCTCTCTGCATCAGCTGCCTGGAAACGCCGCAAGATCTCCTTTCAGAACGGACACCGTCGCTGGCAGAGAACATGATGTCATATCAGCACTGGCTGCCCTCGACACCAGCACTTCCTGTCAGCAGGTTACAGAACAAGCCTTGCCAACCTTCTGGGGAAGCAGGCACGAAGCTTCCGTCTCAGTAAGGGCTTTGCTCCATACTTCCCAGCACGACATTCACCCGACGGGAAACCACCCTGAGCGGGACGATGGCTTTTGTCAGAAGCGGTGGTGGTTGTGCGAGGCTTACTCCTTGTGCTGAGGCGCGCTGGCTCCTGCCGCATCTCCGAACAGCAAACCACTGCAGAATCCACAGAAGGGGGAGCTGTGCCCATACTCTCCCTGCTAAACACATGTGAGTAGTACCAGCTTAAGAGAGGAGCGGGTGTCAGTACTGAGGAGTTCGTACTGCCGCATTCCTGGGAGTGCTGACACAGGTAGGCCTCATCCTCTCTCAGGTACAGGGAGAACTGAGCCAACAGAATGAAATCTATTTTTACCTGTTACTACAAAATCCCAGGATGCCTTCTGACACCGTGGGACTATATTGGGTCCTACAGCACCAAAAAATGTTGGTTCCACAAAGTCAGAACGCCATGTGTGCTGGTAGAAACTCTTGGTGAGAAAAAGTGTTTGTAAGAGGTTCTTGCTGTGAAGGAAACGGGACAGTGATTCCAAGCGAATCACCCTTGCGTTCGGTATTGGCCAGAGTAGCACTTCCTCCCGCACGGACAGATCAGGCAAATCCCATTTCAGGTTTTCAAAACCTTGTTCCGTGCTACTAGAACAGATGACTACCAGGCCTCCGGAAAAACTCCCGCTTTCTCCCACTGGACCACAGCTTCCAGTAACTTCTTAAATTACCAGTTTGACAGGCACAGAAGACAAAACCGACTTGTTTCAGTCTGCCCTGTTGGAGCATCTTTGCGCTTTTTTCTGGTCAGGATATGTAGAAACATCTGTGCTGCTTTCGTGTTGCTGCTGCTGTAGCTTCCTGTTGTGACAGTGCTACCCACTGCTCCGCTGCCGTCATACTCACAGGCCGCCATTTGTACAAATGCATTTTTATTGTTTTAAGAGAACCAAAAAAGGTTGAAAACATTAGACTATACAATACTTTTGGTTTATAAACAAAGTTTTATAGTGGTAAAACATTTCTAAGTGACATTCATGGTCTTTTTCAAATTTTTGCTGCATTTCAGGTCTGAAGACCAATAGTGTTCAAAAAAGCAGGAATTGCATAAGGTGGACAAGTATCTTAGCTTCTACAAAACAGTCCAAGAACTTACAGCAAACATTCCGGAAGAATATCAAAGGCAACCATGATTCATAACTCTCCTGCAAACATTCCTCAACGAACACAAAGTGATCTTTGGCATAAACAATTATGTATTAAAGGCATTAGTAATATTGCATTAATATCAGTCAAGCAACTAAACAGTGATGCTAAAACAAAAATCTCACAGAGAAGCCTCAGTGGGGGGGAGGAGACGTGAGGAGCATTAAAAGTCACCAAGGAAGACTATTTAGAAAATCCCTTAAAAATAACCCCTACCTATTCAGTGTTATTTACTATTAAATAGAAATTACTACATTAGAATTACGTTAAAGAACTGGTATAAACCAACCAAATGCAAGACATTCAGGTTAAGGCTCTGGCACCCCTTCCTCCCTCTTCCTGCTGCAGGTAACTGCAGGAGAACACTACGGCAGGATCCTGGGTACCACAAATTTCCTAATACCCAGGCACAAGGCGTGAATTAAAGACAAACACATGTTTTCTCTCGCTAAGGTCAGTTTGAGGCAGATGTATTCTAATCACTTAACTTCCCTTTTTAGATAACAGTGCAATGAGGGGGGAAAGGGGAGAGGTCCAACTGCAGGATAGCTGTTACAGAGGGGTAAAGGACAGCTGACTACATCGTGTGTCTCTTGGAGCTGTTAAGACTGAGCAGTTTTCCCACAAGGGCACTTCCATGAAAGGTGGTTTGACCGTGCAGCAGTTTTCAGCCAATTAAGAGCATCATGAGGCCAGTGCTGATCTGGGCAGAATTCTGCAAGTGTTCCGTGCCAATGTACAGAGACCATTCTGAAGCAGTTGTTCTCCTTTCTGTCAAAGGCTAAAGGGGACTACGGAGCAATTAAATGAACATATATATATATATATAAAAATTATGGAAGGATAAAGGCATCCCAAGTCTATTTTCATAATAAAGTGGGGGGATTTCATGGGGTTTTATTGTTGTGGGGCTTTTGCGTTTTGGAGTTTTTAGTTTGTTTTCTTTTTGGAAGATAGTCTTTGTTCAGTTCAGTATTACTAGAACTTGAAAAACAATTTTGAGCCTCCAAACATTAAAAATGGTGAGGCTATCCCAGCACGTTTAGCATGAGGAACCACCGTTTGCTGGTAGCTGACAGACTACCTGAAAAGGGTTTCGTGTCCCTGCAGGGCTTGGGTTGCAAAAAGCTTTGGACTGCTGGAAACAAGGGCAGTGAGGCAAAAGGCCATTTTTAGTTGACTATCTTAATTTCCGCCTGGAGCGGCTGGAATAA